AGATAACAGGATTTCCACTATTTCATAGAAGGTAGACTGTGCCAGCAATGATTATAGACCCAGGAACTTAAGCCAGCAGAAAGGGAGGGGTCCAGAGAGGACAGTGCCAAGGCCAAAGCAAAAGGAGCAAGGCCAACTTGAGCTCCTTCACGCTCCATGCATCTCATTTAGCATTGAGCAGCCTTCCATCTAAGCCAGAGAAGCCACAGACCAGCTGGTGGCCCCCAGCAAGCAAGGCATCTATGTTTCTGCACCTTATGATGAAAGTAATGACAGCTTCCTCCCAGGATGACTATTAACCAATGTATGATAGGTGAGCTCCCTAGCACAACCCTTGGCACATCATAGATGCCCCACGTGTGTGGGGGTCCCTCCTCCCGTCCCCACAGAACTACCCCAGGAGCAGTCAGAGATGGTTAACACGGTAGTAGGATGGACTCTGGAGGCAGACATTATAGCTTAAAATACCTGTTCTACCACTTGTAGCTGTGTGACTCTAGGCAAGTTACCTAGCTTCCCTGTTTCTCAATTGCTTTATCTGTAGAATGCAGATAGTAACTCCCTCGTCAAAGAGTTGTGAGAATTTAATGTAAGAAGCTTAAGAGTTCAAAACAAGATAACTCACCCTCGGTTCTCTTCACTCCCCATCTTTTAACTCAATAATTCACGTGATTACTCCCTACAAGAGTTGTATGTTTTCCCCATTTTGCAAAGGAGGCAATGGACATGCGGAGACGTTACACAGGCTTCCCAGCCTCCCGCAGCCAACAAATGGTGGAGAGAGATCTAAACCTCGAAAGTATCCTTCCAGAGCCTGGTGCTTCAACCACTTTGTACCCATGAGAGTTCCTTGGTTTTGCTCTCTGGCTGGAACACCAGAACATGGGCAGGAAATTGAGTACCCCCTCGTCCTTCCTTCCTCTGCTGCCCTTCCCCCACCCATAACATCGTCCTCCTCTTCCTCATTCCCAACGGCCATCTCTTGTCTTCACCCAACGTTTATTGTGCAGTTTTTAGAAGCTCAGTGTGTGACATCATCCAAGATCTCCGTTCCAATCAAATTTAAATTAAATGTGATGGTTAAACTGAACTAGAGTCAAATTCCTCCTTTATTTAGGTTTTGTCATCATCATTATCCCTTCTAGCCACTGGTCCAGAAACCTGTCCTTCTCCTTGTGGTCACCCAGAGATGACGTACATACATTCGGGACCATGGGACAGAGTTACTGTCGTGCATGGCCACTGCCAGAACGTTTGCACTCCCAAATAACTGCGCCAAAAGAACTTAGAAAAAATGTAATTTCTCCAAAAGACTCTTTTCTAAAAAATAACATTGGTCGAGGATGTTTTCCTTGAAAACCTCGCCACTGAGAGGAAAGGAGGCGTGTGCAGACAAACAGGAGTAGCTAGCGTTCAGAAGCCAGTGACAAGATCAGACAGTGCCCGAACACAGCGGAAAACACAATGTATAGTACTCTCAGAGTCCCCAGAGACCAAACAGGAAAAGTCACAAAATTTTAAAGCTCAAAAGAACCCCGAAGAACATCTAATCCAGTTACTTGCAAACTCTGTGTAAGTGCAGATTCTTTTGTTCAAATGAAATCTTACCCAGAAGATTTATATAAGAGCTGAGATGCTCTTACAGCGTCACGGGGGACAGGGGAACACCTAGAGTCCACTCCATTCCTATTCCGTCCCTCCCAACAGTGCTTTGGAGGGCTCTAGGGAACCTCTGAGGTTCCTCGGGGCACAGTTTGAAAATCACGATCCTAATCCCACTTCCTCCTTTCCCCGGGGGTGGAGGGATGAAGCCTAGAGAAGCTATCTGACTTGCCTGAGGTCACACGACCAAATCGGCAGACTAGGCCGACCCTTATCTCTCTTCAACAGTTTCTCCCTAATAATACCTGAATGCGCAAATGAACTGTCTTTTATTTTTCCAGACATTTGTGTTTGTCCTCATGCCCTATGTTCCCAAGAAAACCTAAGACACTGGTCCCCGCTTGTGCCTTAAATCTCGGAGTGTGTGGTCCGGACACAGCCATGACTGCTGGAAGTGTGGTATAGGAGGAGAAGGGTCACAAACACTGCCCCACAGATAACCCTGGACGCTCTGTTTCACCGTCCACATGGAGCTGAGCGTCTGCTGTCCACGGAAGTCCTAAACTGCGGGTGGTTCTCAGCAGGACACCTGTGAGCTGGCAGTCCAGGCGGCCTCCTCCCTGTTAGCTTTGGACACAACCTAGCCATTATGCCCCTTCACCTCTGCACTGTAAGACAGGGGAGGGCAGAGGGAAGAGCCACCCCGTGAATGCTTACAGCCACGCAGATTAGAAGTTGAATATGTTCAGGTGTCTGGCGCTCTCTCGGTGCTTAGAGTGAAAAGGCTCAGCCATGGCCCTGGAACCTGGCCGCTCTCTCTACCTGCTTGGAGAGTAGCAGAAACGGTGAAGGGAGGTTCTGACGCCGTGCTCTGGGAAAGACGCTATATGCACAGTGGCTAACACGGGGCTTCCCAGTTGCTTACTTCCGGTGCCTCCTGCCAGCCCCCTGCAGCCCGGGGATAGGAACCAGCACTCACACTGGGCTGACGAATCCCCGACAGGATCATTAACTTATCCAGAGTTCTGCAGCTAAAAAATGACAGACCCAGAATTTGATTCCCCAAGCATCCTGCTGTAAAACCTGTATTCTTAAACACTACTCCACACTGCTCTTCCTTCCTCCTGCACAGGAAGAAAGGGAGAATAGGAGGACATGGAAGGCTCGGGACCCAGCCGTGCAGGAGGGTGGAAGTGCAGACAGACAGGAAGGGCGCACTGCCGCATGCATTTCCCCTCCAGCTGTGCTTCCCTGCGCAGAATTCCCCAGCCAGTGCCAGCGTCCTGCAAATGTCCCAGAGGCAAGAATCCTCGGCTTGTTTACGGAGTCCCCCGGGGCCAGGGGGCGGTGAGCTGGGTACAAAAGCAGGATAAAGGTAAACTTTCTGCATGTGAGAACCACCCCCCCCCAAGGAGCTGTGTCACACTGTATGTCACCGTCATCAAAGGGGCTGTGCATAAACCTGAAAAACCAAACGGACCTGTCTGTAGGTGTCACTTATATCACAAGGCTACAGGTGCCTTTATTTCCACCGTCTGCGCCGTCTGCCGGGGCCAGGAGAGCCTGCTTTCTCTTGCCTTTCAAGCCATCTCTCTGGACCCAGCCATCCTGTCCTCACGTAAGCATCTGGGTTTTGGAGGGGTTTTTTGCCCGTCTTCTGGATGAATGGTGAGGGGCGTCAGAGCTCAGAGGCTGGGCTGAGGGCCTGGGTGTGTGGGTCAGGCTCGAGCTACTGTGCTGGTCCCCGCACAAGGCTGCCACTGTGCCTTGGGAGCTCTAGACTCAGGCTTGACTGCTTGCCTGAGAGAGAGGACTCCTGGGCCACGTGGCCACCCGCCCCCTCCTCTCCAGCCCCCACTTCCTGTGAGGAGGAGAGGACCCACACAGCCTCTCCACTCTGTGCCCTTCCCAAAGCTATGTTAACTTCTCTGGAGATGTCTTTCGGAAGGGAAGTCGGATTTTACACTAAAACACATTCGGCTTCAAGGGAAGCCCCCGACCCCTGCCCCTTCCCTGACTTTATCCCTCGTATCCTCCTTGGCCTGCTCGCTGCCTCTGCACCGCAGCTCCCTTGATAGAGACAATTGTCTTATAGTTTGGGGCATTTTCAGGAATTTGTATTTACAAAATAGTTTCAAAGAATCCCATTTTTTTCCCTCTCCCACCCCATCAGAATAGAACATGTCCAGAAAAGCCGAAGTTGGGGTTTTTTTCCACTGTATTCTCTGCAGTTGTATGTGGGGTTCCTGTGGGGTTGCCCCCTGCTGGCAGAAATTGATAACACATGCTTCTTTCAGAATATGGGGGTCCAAGTCTCCGTGGACCTGTGGAGAATTCGCAGGCTGGAAACGGGGTCATGGGCCATAGATAAAACTTGGTTTTACAGATGAGGGAACTGATGCCCCAAAAGTCTCAGTGACTTAGGAAGATGGGTTTGTGTTTTCGGGTACTCTAAAGAGCCAGAAATATGTCTTTTTTGAAAGCTTGATGGTTTTTTTTCTTGGTGTTATTTGAAAGAATGTTTTTCCGTGATTCCAGGTATGGTTGGCAGGAGTTTTCAGCTTGGTTATCTTCTCATCTCAAAAGCTGCCAGAGTAGATACATTGACAGTCGTTGATTTTTCTTTCTGGGACAGGAATAGAATATATATATATATACATATTGTAAGAATAAAAGATATATATTTATCTTCAGGACGTTCTGAAGATTAGGTGTTAAAATCTTATTGAAAGAGGGTAGTGAATGTGCATATAGCACATAGATATGGCAAAATAATCTAGAATTTTAGTAGGCTGAGTAGTAAATACGCACCATGTCCCTTGCCTCGGTGAGCGGCCCAGGGAAGATTTGACCCTCCCAGTATTTAATCCAAAACTGTAAACTTTGCATTGAAGCCCACACAAAACTGTATGGGCCTTTGCTGCACCTTCAGAAAAACAATGAAAAACAACAATCAACCAAACGCCCTAAGCAATCTCAAGAGAAATGAGGAATCACTTGACAGGAGGTCAGCAAATTGGTTCTCGCAGCTGCTGTGGTTTCTCCCACAGCAAACACTCCAGCACCTAACCCGCAGTCCATCTTTAGCAGCAAGTGTTGAGCTGCTCCATTGCATTCTCCTCACTCGCCCTTCTTGGGGAGGCCAAAGGGTGGGAAACTGACGCTGCCTCGCACAGAACCAGCGGACCCTCAGGTGTCATGGGGGCTGTGGGGATAGAAAACATTTCTCCTCCCAATGATACTACCCAATGCTGAGATTGAGGAAAGCTCTCCTTCACCTCCTGTATCTGTACTTTTCACCCATGTGGCCATGTTCTGCCCAGTGATGTTTTACATATAAACAGGCAATGTGTAGGTGCTTAATTGGGTAGGTTTTTGGTCACATGCCCAGAGTGAAGTCGATGATCTCCACCAGGGTCAGGAAGGAATTTTCCTCCTCTGGCAAACTGGCCAAGGCTGGGTGGTTTTCTCCTTTGCCTCTCTCTGGAAGGCTGAGCAGAGGAGTCTGGTTGCTCCAGCTATGAGCACCTCACCTGTTACTGCCGCCTCTGGTTCGTGCAGCGGCGAGAAGCCCACAGGCCTGGCCTTCTGACCGGGCGGACCCTCTGTGTGCGCACGCGGCGTGTGAGCCAGCTCTGAGAAGGGTTGGGAACGCAGCACTGGAGGCATCCGGGGACTCCCGCTTCCACGCCATCGCTGCCTGGCCCTCCAAGGTACTTGCGGCGGCCTTCCTCCTGCATGGAGGGGAACCGACCTGAATCCTCAACGTGTGTTGAGTGTGTCTTATCCTTTCCTACTTCACGGGCGGCTATTAATCTTGGGGAAACTGAGTTCAACCCCTGTGGGTCTGCTGGTGGGCAGTGTACGGGTTCAGGATGTTTAAAGTACCCGGCTCTGGCTATCCTGTGATTCCTGAACCAGACAGAGGTATATGATAATGCACACAGGAGGTCAGGAGGAAGGGGAAATCTGAAATGTCTTCTTCAGAGAAGAAGATGGTTTTTCTCTGAATCTGTGGTGGTACCGGTTGGATTTTAGTCCAATTCGATGAGCCTGCAGGACCACAGTATCCAAATATGACCAGTGCATGTGCGTATGTGTGCGCGTGCAGAGATGTGGGTGTGTTGGCCAGTCAAGGGGGCGCCTGCAGAAAATCACAGAGCTAGGGCCAACTGCGCTGTCCCTCTCACCGGTGTCCTTACCTAGTAGGCGAGGAACTGAGCTTTGGAGAGGTGCAAAGGCAAAATCATCACTCCACGTTCAGGGCTTTTTCCGTGATAACAAGCCAGTCAGCCCCTCAGAACATGAAGAGTGTGGCTAGAACAGCAGGCCAGAGAATAATCCTGTCCTGTGCAGATGCTAGGTCCATCTAACCCAGGCTTCTGAGTCCTTTTATTATCCTCACACCCGAGGGTGATTTTTTCATTATCACCCCCATCCTGTTGGGAATGGCTGGCCCAATGTGAGGCTGGCTTTACGGGTTGCCAGGTCTTCCTGAAAAGTGAGACCTCACACCATGCTCCTTCCCACCCATCCCGCTCACCTGCATGAAAGAAGTCTTTCAGAGCCCCCAGTTCAATTACTGCAACAACTTTCGAGAGCCTAAAGCAGAAGGCCTGCCACACAGGAAGCAGCCATGATTCCTGAACTTGCACATCTAGTGCATGCTGGCTCGGTGGCCAGGGTCTTTTGTGGCATACCCAGAGTTAATAATACCCTCCCCTATTGCAATATCAAACAAAAAGAGGAAGAAGAAGAAGGAAAAAAGAGAAAGAGAGAGAAAGAAAAAGAAAGGAAAGAAAAGAAAGAAAGGAAAAGAGAGAGAAAAGAAAGAAAGAAGGAAAGAAAAAGAAAAAGAAAAAGAAAGAAAGAAAGAAAGAAAGAAAGAAAGAAAGAAAGAAAGAAAGAACTTCCATTGCTTTCATAAAAGACGTTTTTTCCAAAAAGCAAGAAATAATTATGGGGGTTTTTTGGGGGGTTTCGGTACCAGGAATCAAACTCACAACCTCATGCTTGCCAGGCAAGTGGGGTGCCGCTGAGCTAAATCCCCAGCCCCATTTATGGAAGGAAGATAGAATGTCATGCACCCAAGATAGCCCTTTAAGAAAAGCCTAATGGAAGGGCTGGGGATTTAGCTCCGTGGCACAGCACCTGCCTGGCAAGCACAAGGTCGTGAGTTCGATTCCTGGTACCAGAAAAAAAAAAAATGAAAGAAAAGCCTAATGGATGTAATTTGCCATAAAAAGAATTAGCAAAGTGAATCAGATACAACTCTGTGTGGTGCTCTGGAGAGATTGCAGATCAAGGGAGTGGGTTGGTATAAATAAAAATCCTTAAAGGGTGTAAATATTGTATTGATCAAAAACATTCCTAATTTTTATATGATTAAAGTCAGTTTTCAGATGACTTTTTAAAGCTGCCAAATGACTTTTGAGAGTTGTTCATCAAGCAAGGGTGAGAAAAGTCTTGTTTTGTATTTGGTTCACCTTTTCTTTCTCCAGCTCAATGAGGAGGGTCATGTCAGAGGGCCTCTTTCTTTCTCCTTCCATTTTCTGAGTCTTCTGGCCCAGAAGGAGTGAGCGTGTTTTTATCCTTAGTTCTCACTTAGATAAACTTTTTGAAGTCCAGTCCAGAGAGTCCAGAAGATCTCGGGCTTCAGAGCCATTTGCCTCCCTTACAACATCCCACCCCATCCTTCCTCTTCCCGCCTTCCTTCAACCATCACACGCTGCCCCACTCTGGATATAAAAGCAACCAAGCCATGGGAAAATCAGAGCCCAAAGCCAGGCAGCCTTGACTTCTGCAGGGTAGACTTCCAGGGCAGATCTGTGGCCGTGATAATCTGCTGGGCCCATTAACCCTGCGCTGGCATCAAAAAGAGGGCAGGTCTGGGGACTCGTGGGTACTGGTCCAGAAAGGGTGTTCCAGGATGAGAATTCAGACTCTGGCTTTTATGCCTGTCCAGAGTGCAGTTCTCAGGCACATTGCCTGGTGGTCATGATGGTCGATTGGTCAACAAAGACTTGGTCTTTGGTTCCAGAATCACACAGTCCCTGCCCCACTTGTATCTCTATGTCCCAAAGTGTACCTGAGAAGCAACTGTGTCTTTAGCAAGGGAGGCAGGTAGACCAAGAGTCAGAAAACGTAAGCCCTTCCTCCAATTAAACCCGACAACCAATGAAAAAAGTAAAAAAAGTCCCAAGGCCCCAAAAACCCTCCCCTAAAATGGCAGGGGGAGAGAGATTAGACCAATTTCCACTGTGGTACTCACATCTCTGGTGAGGTAGAAGTTGATTCTGCTCAGCAGTTGGCAAACTCTTTCTCAAAGGACCAGATAGGAAATATTTTAGACTTCGCCAAAAAAACAAAATCAAGCACATTGTGTAGGTACTTATTTTTAAACATAAAATTATTTTTGCTTGCAGACCATACGAAAGTAGGTGGTAGATTGGATTTGGCCTGAGGATATATTGCCTGATAATCCCTAATTTAGGTGGTACATGGATGAACATTCTCTATTTAAATGCTAATATATTTTTTGCATGTACCTTAAAAGAATACTAACTTTCCCTTTATATTGATGATATAAAGGCTTCTTTTTAAATAAACATATTAATGTCAAAATAAAAAGAAGTTGATGTTTTAAATGTTTTAAGTAAATAAAGGTGTTTGGTAGGATATAAATTCAATGAAATTATGGTGGCAGGCAAATGACTGAAGTTTGAAAGACATTGGATGGGATGATGGAGAAGTCCTCACCATCTCAAAATTCCATCTTTCAATATCCCAGGATGTGGAATGTAGTCTTCCCTGGTACTTACCAGTGGAGTGACCCTAAGCTGCAGTGTCCTCATTATGCATAGAGGAAGAACTGGCCTATCCTTATTATTTCTAGAAAAAGAGAATTTGGGTAAATAGGTGTTTTACTCTGCCAAACATGGAATTTTTAATTTGAGTTGCGGGAATATGGGATGCAGCAAAGAGATAGTAGACAGGAAATAGGAAACAGCAGAGGTCAGGTTAGTGGAAGTGGGAGTACATCCAGGTGGAAACGTGAGCCCATTCCCTTCCGCCATTTTTCCAGCTTTTTCCCAGAGATCCCACCACTGTCACAGTGTAGGTGGGGAACAGAATCCAACATTAGGATCCTGAGCCTCTAATGAGACAAACCTGAACTTCCACCCAGATTCCATCTCCTGCTGGCTGGGTGATTTTGCATTTGCTACCTGGATCTTCTGTCCATCATCTACACAATGGAAACACTTCTAGTACCTATCTCAGGGTGGTTCTTCTGAGATTCCCATGAATAATGAATCTAGGTACTGCAGTACTTAGCACAGAGTGTGAAGTGTAGTATTTGTGGCACACTCACTTCTCCAAAACCTTCAGGACAGCTGTACTACAGAATTCAGAATTCTTCAGGTGTTAGGAACCAAAATACAGAGAACCCCAATGGTCTAGGATTGATCTAAAGCATCAGTCTCTCTGTAGTGTATCATATGAGTGCTTGTGAAGTAGAATTAATAAGACTATAACTATAGTTGTAAAACTATAGCATGCATTGTTATATATTGTTGTATATGTATTATTGTTATATATGTGCTATGTACATACATAAAGCTGTATAAAATTATATGACTTCAGTTTAGGACTGTTTGCTGGGAAATATGTGTGTGCACCAAACACACAAACTTTCAATTTTCTTGCCCTGTTTTCAGAAGCATGTTGTCAGCTGTCATATTCCAGATATCAGAGAGTCAGCTGTGAGCAAATAGGAAGAGGAAATACAGGGGCAGTGTGGTACACTAAGACCCTCCATGCACAAACTCCAGCTCTCCACTTTTGTTGCTTGGGCAACTGCCTCAGCACCTCTGTGTTGGTTTTTTTTCATCTATGAAATGGGGACAGACAAGATGTAGCGAGGATTAAATAATGCCCTCTGAGGGGTGCCTGAAGCTACCATTACTGAAAACCAAGGGTTGTCCTGCTGGGGGCGCCCACACTGCCCCTCCTTGACAGCCTTCTCTGCTCTTGCAGGGTGATGTTGGACTCCGTGACACACAGCACCTTCCTGCCCAACCCATCCTTCTGCGACCCCCTGATGTCATGGACAGATCTGTTCAGCAATGAAGAGTATTACCCTGCCTTTGAGCATCAGACAGGTGTGTATATCTGAAGCCGCCCACCCCAGGGCAGCTAGCACAGGCTGGGGCAGAAGGTGCTGGGCAGGAGGTGCTGGACAACAAGCCGTGCTGGGGCCTGGAAATGCCAGTGTTCAGAGGCCGGGGGAAGCCCAGGTGGAAGGAAGAGCAGCTGCTTGCTGGAAGGAAGGCTCTGGAATCCTCACCCTAACTTCTTCCTAGCTCTGTGTAAACTATCCAGCCGGGCCCAAAGCAAGAGCTCGTTAAACACGAATCCGCTCGCTGTCCCTCCCCCTCTTCCTCCCTCTGGGTCTCAGCACAGGTTTTATCCACCTGAGAAGGAAGTTTGGGGCCTGATGCAAATCTTGTGCCAGAGGCAGGCCAGCTGAACTTTGTTCCAGAAACCCTCCAAGGGCCTCTGTCCCCGAGTGCTTGGGTGACTGAACATCTCAGCGGGGCTGGGCGGCTGCTGGCCTGGCAAATGCACACTGCGCAGGTACTGATGCAAGCACCCATCAGGCCATCATTCACCACTGAGCCTTAACCCTGAGCACCCCAGCCAGGTGCAGTCCAGCCCAGTGAGCAGGCAGTGTCAGGGAAGAGCTGAGCCTTCAGGGTTGCTGTGTGATATCCACCACCAGAGCCCCTGCCTCAGGGGCCGAAAACCAGGGCTGCGTACACAGAACTGAGAACTTACCTACACCATGCAGTCCTACATTCACCCCTATTCCATAGATGCACACTCATCTACACATGCACACCTGAAATCTCTCACCTTCGCTCAGGACATCTCATTACATTCAGATTTGAATCATTGAGATACAATTTTCCATGGGGCCTAAGAAGCACCTGAAATTTGGCTAATAGATTAAATCTGAAGGAGTAGAATGAAAGCTATTGGATCCCTGGCTCTCCAAGTGTCCCACCATGGCGGGGCCCAGTTTTGGTCCCTCTGTCAATCCATGCATAAGGCCAGCCCTCACTTAACCCAGACCTGCCCTTGTGAGAGCCCCCTTCCTGTCTCGTCTCCTGGGTGGCAGCCGGGATGGCAGGGGGATAGGAAATGGCCGCAATCATCTGTCCCCCTGATGCCTAGACATTGGGAGCAGCAGCTTCGATAGTTGTCAAGAGCTCGGGGTTTGGAGTTGGGTGTCTTAAATGTGAAGCCTGGTTTTGTCATTTATTATCTGCACCATCTTAATCTCTTGTGGCCAGTCGTCTCACCTGGATAGTGGGGAAAATAATAATGCCTCCCTGGTAGTGTTGCTATGAGACTGAAGTGAGTTAAAGGAGAAGTGTTTGGGGCAGGGTCTGGCCTGGCCCATAGCCAGCACACACAGGTGTTTACCAAACTGGAGGGTTAGTTCCAGTAGGATGTGATGAAAAGTTAAAGAGCTGGCCGGTGCCAGTGGTTGTTTGTCAATGCAAATGTATTTAATGTCACTAAACTGTAAGTTCACAATGGGTTAAAATGTTAAGTTTTATGGTATGTTTACATTATCACCATTTTTTAAAATGAAAAGTTAAAGGAATGAGCGCCAATGAATTGCCAGTGTGACTTAAATCTGAGCAGGTCTTGGATTCTCAGACACAGCTTTCTCCCAGCTGAGGCCTCTGCATTTCCATCAGTATATTGAGAGGTGGGACCAGGTTATTGCTCGGATTCCTTCCAGAAGCTTCTCTGGGTACTGCACCATGCAATATCACAAGCATAGCTTTCTTCTCCCACCACCACTCAGAGAAGAGAAATTTCCACTGGGGTGTGAGACCAGTGAAAAGAAAATATCCTTCAGGAGTAACATGGGTTCCTGACATTCCCTGAGGGATGAGCTTGGTTTTTTACTTACCACCTGCTCCTCTAAATTTCAGAAGAACGTGGATTATCTCTGACCTCCTAATGGTCAAAGTTGGGCATGAAAGCTTAGTCTTGACTGAGCACTTTTCCCACAGCTGCCTGGGCACCAGGTGAACTTCATGAGTCCCATTGATGGAAGGACTAACCTAGCAGTTCTTTCTCATCTTTTTCTGACAAAGACATCACCACACACAGGGATGACTCCTTGGTTGAGTTTCCACAAAAACGCTCTCTGCGGGGCTTATGTCAGGGACAGCCGTGTTTGCCCTGGGCCTTTCTTTGCAAACTTTCATTGCTTGGTGGCCAAATGTCCCTGAGGCATCTTTACCCAGGTTCTCTCCCACCTCCCAGGAATTGCCATCTTGAATTCAGAGCTTGCCTTAGGGACTGTCCTCATGGCACTTTCCTGATCCAGTCTAACTCTGAGTGCTGACACTGACACTACCAGCCACGTGACCTCCAGTAGATTTGTTTGAAATATATTTTCCTTTGTGGAAAAAATATGCATCTCCTAGGGTAAGAGGATTGGATGAGATTTTGTATAAAATGTGTGTAACCAAGTGCCTGGTACATGGTAAGTGCACATGTAGCCAGGAACGCTCCACAACTCTCAGACAGATGGGAAAGTAGCTCCCTCTCTCCTCTTGTATTTTTCATATTGAATAAAAGTAACATGGGTCTCTGTTGCAACTTTCCCAATTTTTGGCAGTGTAGATACTATAGCACCAAAGAGAAAGAAACAAAGAAATAGCATGCCTTCTAGACAAATGACCTATAAAAGGGGATAGGCAGGAATGGTCCGTGTATTGAGGAAAACTGGCTGTTTTCCAAAATTTTCAAACTGCCTATGGCAGTGTCGCGGGAGCTGTGCCCTCTCTCTGCCAACCACAAAGGGTGCTGACCTGCTCTGTGAAGCAGGACTTCTGATAAGCTCTGCTGCAGGCTGGAAGGAGGACAGTCACAGATGGCAAAACGCCTTCAAATTTCATAAACTCACCCTGCCCTTGACTTGGCCTTGTCAAAATAAATAATTAATGTGGTGGGCCTGCATGTATATCACTTGCATATAACATTTTTTTAAAAAGTCTTTCCCCAGTCAAGTTCTAGTAGCCCAGGCTCTGAGGGGTCATTATGTATTTGGCCTCACCCCTGCTTCCTGGACCTCCATCCTGTACCTCCACCTCCCGACGCACCTCTCTTGATGGCCAGTGGCCAGGCCAACATGGGGTTTTGGAATCTTGCTTCTACTTGGTCTACAGCAGAGGCTTCTAGATTAGGACAGCTCTGCAGGGTCCCCAGAGGTGGGAGCTGAGAAGCCCACATTTACTCTCTGCTCTCCTCTTACCTTCAAGTTGTTTCCTCTACCTTAATTCAGGAGACAGTACAGTTTAACTGGTATTAATGTTCTGCCACAAGAACTAGAATACATCTACAAGGTGTGATCAAAAACTACAGCGAATCTTTTCTTCAGTTTATTACAGTAAAAGAAGCAGTGCCATTCATCCTGCTAAAAGTCTTCCCTTTGATTCAACACACTTTTCCCATTGTTCTTGCCACTTTCTGAAGCATTTCTGGAAGTCCTCTTCCATGAGTGTCTTTAGTTGCGCTGTTATAGCTGCCTCCATGTCCTGAATCAACTCAGAATGTCTACCTTCTGTGGTCACTTTGACCTTGGAGAAGAGCCAGAAGCCGCGTGGTCCAGATCCAGTGAAGAAGGTGGATGAGGACACACCGGCATGGCTTTACAAACTTACCTTTCTGTTCGACGGGACTCAACAGCAGTATTCACCATATTTTTTGTCACACCTCGTAAAGATACTCATGAAAGAAGACTTCCAGAACTGCTTCAGAAAATGGCAAGAGGGCCGGGGATGTAGCTCAGCGATATAGCGCCTGCCAGGCAAGCGTGAGGTTGTGAATTTGATTCCTGGTACCAAAAAAAAAAAAAAAAGAAGAAGAAGGAAAATGACAAGAACAATAAGATAGTATATTGAAAGTGAGGAAGAATATTTTGAGAGGAACTAATGCCTCACTTTCAATATACTATCTTTTATTGTAATACTTCTTTTTATTTAAACACATGCTGTATTTTCTTGACCAGCCCTTGTATATGACCTACTTTTAGCTCTGCCCCTTTACCCCACTGTGTGACCTTGAAAAGGCCATACTTTCATTTTAAAGAGGGACAACATGAGCACATAGCATATATTGAGAATCACATGAGAAGGCACAGGGTTTAGTGTGGTGACTGAAACATACAAATATTCAATAAATATATTAGCTGTTATTACCTAGTGGGAGATTTTAGTTGGCTGGATGTGGTGATGTGTACCTGTACTCCCACCTACTTGGGAGGCTGAGGAAGAAGGATTGCAGGTTCAAGGTCAGCCTAGACAACTTAGCAAGACCCTGTCTAAAAATAAAGTAAAAACTCCTGGGGATGTAGCTCAGTGTAGAGCACGTGCCTGGCATGCATGTGGCCATGGGTTCAATCTCCAGTAGTAGGAGGAGGAGACAACAAGAGGGAGTGGGTATTTGAAGAAAGAGCCATTGAAAAACAATTTTTTTTTTTTTTTGGTTTTTCTCCAGTACCAGGAATCGAACTCACAACCTTGCGCTTGCCTGGCAGGCGCTGTGCCACTGAGCTAAATCCCCAGCGCCCCATTTAAAAATTTTTAAAAGCACAAAACCAATTATCATAGGTATTAATATCCAGAAAATGAGGGAGAGAAGTTTTCGGATGCAATGTGGGCTTTTCTAAGCAAGATGCTTAGATGGGGTGTAGTGGTGCTGGGTGTAGTCCTGTGATGGGTGTTAAGCAGATACAGAGGAAAGAGTCTAAGGATTTCTAACTGAAAACGAGACAACCAAACACAGAAGCATGTGATATTCTGAGCTGAGCCCTGGGGCAGCAGTTCCAGGAAATCACAGCATCAGCCACACATCAGAGCTTCCTGGGTAGCCGTGGCCACAGGACCACTCGGGGCCTGGCTCTCTCTGCCCTCCTAACCCCACGCTCCCAAGACCACGGCCTTCGCAGATGCCCAGCCGGCCCTGTTGCTCTTTGCTCCCCCAGTTTCTTGCACTGCTCCTGGCTTTATTTTTGCCATCCGCGGTGTGAGCACCCCAGGGGCTAGGAGAGAAAGGTCAGTGAGGCTCTTGGACGGGGCTGCCAGGGCTCTGGGAAGAAACCTGGAAGCAATTTATCACCGCAGGTTGGCCCTCGTAAAGTCTTCCCTTTCAATGACAAAGCTGCAATTGCCTGTATCCCTTGCTGCCCAATCCACTCATCACCTCTCTTCGGTGATGCCCCAGGCAAAATCTTTCCCAACTCCCTATGCTAATAAACCCTGCTAATTATGGTCCAAAGTTGCCTAACTTGGGCCTCCTCCGAGGCAGATGGTCTGTCTCCCCCGACTAAGCCCTGAGCTTGCTTCAGTCTGGTCCTTTCTCTCCACCAGACTGAAGAAAGCCTCATCTCCCTAGGAACACATGTACTCCCACCATGGAGTTGGGCAGCAACTGTCCACTTCTAAATGTCCCCAGCCAGGACCACTTTAAGCATGGAATTACCTGCGGACCTTGTGTGCCCTGGAGCGCACCCGCCCGGATCTGAAAGCTGAGTCCTGAGGAATTTGTGCACGCCTCTGGCTGAGGCATCACTTTCCAGAATTCCTCCCAATTACTGAAAACACCTCCTAGCTCATCAGCTCTTCCTCCCTATACAGCTGGCCCTCAAATAAGAGCCCTGACCCACTTCAGACTTCAAAGGAGCTGGCGGGGCCTGCTGCTTAATAGTGGCCTCTGGACATCTGGATTAGGCCTTCCCGGCACAGGATGCCACAGCCTTGAGTGGTGACACAAGTGGACGCTTCCCCCAAAAGTTTATGAATAGGGGCTGGGGATTTAGCTCAGCGGCAAAAGCGCCTGCCTGGCAAACGCAAGGTCGTGAGTTCGGTTCCCGGTACCGGAGAAAAACCAAAAAAAAAAGACAAAAGTTTATGAATGATAGATGCATAGAGGAAAATGATATCCACTTCCAGACAATACAGTGTTAAAGACAGTGTGTTCTTGGGTGTATAGCCCTTTTTATTTTCCCAGAGTTCATTTCTTCCAGGTAGCAGAAGGGTCTTCCTCATGTTATTTTCTGGAGTTAGAAGCAATGGCATCCTCTTTCTGACTTTTCAAACCTGAGTGTACATCTTCCTACATATCTTCCTCTAAATTTCATTCCAGTCAGTCTTCAAGATGTGTGCCCCACTTGGTCCCTCTCAACCTAGAAGGGTGAGGTTCTGTATGATACAAAATGCCCAGGTCCAAACATGGAAGTTGGCGTGGGCCTCACACCTTTACTAACCAGCTCTGTGATCTTAGGGGGTTGTGTGACCTCCCAGAACTTCAGTTTCCTCACTGGTAAAATGGAGACAATAACCACTCTTGATTTGGTTACACCTACTGCACACCACAGCGGGCTGGACTAGGCCCTCAGCTCTCCTTGTTCAGGCTGAGCAGAACCTGAGGTCTGGGGAAGGAGAGACTGTGAATCCTTCCAGACCTTCTGAGAAGGCGCCTGAGGGGAAAGCTCTCTGAGAGGGCAAGTGAGTAGAGAAGCTGGCGAGGAGGAAAAATTTCTCAGGAGACAGCAGAGGGAGAAAAGAAGCACTGTGGAAAGACTGAGCTGTGGAGAAACCTGACAGAGAGAAGCAGAGAGAGATGGGGAGGGGAGGGTGAAGGGCCTTCTCACGTCTGTCAGCCTGACAATCCTCCTCACCATGAGGAAGGCCCACAGAAACACCTCAACAAAAGCAACCACGGATGTTGCCTCTCAGAGTTGTCCCCCTGTGTCACTGAGAATACCCTTTTCCCCTCAGCTCTGGGGGCTGTGGGAAGGGCTTTGGGGGTGAGGAGAGCCAGCGGCCTCTTGGCTTGGGCCCCGGTTCTGCTCCAGGCCCAAGCTGCGCACAAAGCCTGCTCTGTGATTAGCCTCACAGAGAAGCGGGGAGCCAGGCCAGCGACACCTTCCAGGTGTCAGCCCTACCCCCACTCGCAGTTCTCCGAATCCTGAAGGCCCTTTCGGCCTCCAGAAACACTATGGTCCCCTTCCAGTGCCAAAGAAAATAACAAGGCAGTGGGAATGGAGAGGGCAAGGGAACAGAGGGCCAGGGCTTTCCCTGAACAGAAACACGCCGTGCCCTCCACTGGCAGGACGCCGATAGCCATCTCCGTCAGGGCCCAGCGCAGGCCCAGCAGCTGAAGAATTTCAAGGCTCATAAACGTCTCTCATCAGAATGCCAGGAAAGTCCAAAGGCCCCTTAGGTTTACTCAAGCCAGAGATCAGTGGATGGAAACGCAGAACAGTCTCAGGAAGGGCCTGTTTCCATAGGAGCCCCGTCTGCTGTGAGCTGCCCACAGGGGGCCTGGCGGGAGCTCCAGCCAGCAACCAGGAAGCAAGAACAGGACTTGGGTCTCACTGGCCCTGCTCCCGTCCATCAGGTGGAGGCTACAACATCAGCCTTTTCTAGCCTGGCGGAATACTGACTCTTCCATCTACATGCACGGAAAATTCTAGTTAAAACTTTAAATCAAATCGATTATGTAGGTTTGGCTGCCCTTCAACCCACTCTATAAAGGGAAAAGAGATGTCAGGGAGGGCCCCGGTTTCCACCTTTGTGACGTGGCCTTGATTTGGCAGAACTGGTGAGGATTTGAGAAGCTGGAGGTGCTGTCAACAAGGACACGTGGCGGGGATATGCAGTGGGCGGTTAGTGAGTGACAGCCCCGGGCAGGGCAGAAAGCCCACTTCCTGGCGGGGTTCAGAAGCGCCACAGCTCTGCTGGGGATCGTGGCAGCAAATGTAGCACTTACAGGAGAGGCAATAGCACCACTGCCCTTTGTTGCGGCATCTAAGGGAAAGTGGCCCTTTCCGCCATCCGCACAACCAGAGCTGGTCACCTGAGCCGCACTCCACTCTGCCCTCTGCCCTTTTCCTGGGACCATCGCATGCTCTCTGGAGCTCTGTCTGCCTCTCTCCCATGTTCCATCTGTTCCCACACTGACCCTCTGAGGCCAGGACAATGGGATGGGAAGAACAATGACACCTGAGCCTAGATTGGGGTTCATATCTCAGCTCTGCCACACTCTGGCCATGGAACCTTAAGAAAGTCTCCTATGACCCTCAAGATCCTCATCAGTGACTTCCTAGGGGACAGCACCAAATCTGTCTTATCCAGCATGAATCTTTGACACATAGTTTGTTATGTCACACAGAAGAGGTGCACAATGATAATGTTCATAGCATTAAAATCTTCCAGGCTCTGTTCTAAGTACTTTAGTAACTCATTTAATTTGCAGAATAACCCTATGATACAAGTGCTGTAATTATCCCCATTTCACAGATGAGGAAACTGAAGTTATCATTTATTAATTGATTGGATGAGTGGATGGATGGATGGATGGATGGATGGATGGATGGATGGATAGATGAATGAACAGCACGATAGTCACAAGGTTATTTACATTCAAAAAAAAAGATTATTTACACCAAAGAGTCAGACCAAGTACATGGTACCTCGTCCTTTCTGTAAGTTGTCTGCCACATTTTAGCATTTCCTTGAGACACTAGGGATGTTGAGTTCCAAATCTTTGCCCTAGGCCAGGCATGGCTACTTCCCAGGATACCAGACAGGGTGGCAGTCACAACTGTCTGGGTGAGCATACAGCTCCTGGGAAGGAGTGAGGAGCTCTGATATCAAGACAGGAGATCCTCAAAACCTCAAAAACACAACACAACCAATTCTCCCATGACTCCTTCCTCCAGAGTAACCTGCTATGGCAGTCCAAGGTCCATCAGACTCTGGACAGTGTCTACATGGCACAAGGCCCTGGCACACAATGGCCAGAGGATGTGCACAAACGGGAAGCCAGTGTGGGCAGCTGTCCATTAGAGCACAGAGAATCCAGCCAGCTTCAGATTCTGTCCAGTGCACAGTGGGCATTTAATAACTATCGAATTGCTTGGTAATTTTCTTTCTGCCAGGCTACGTCTATTAATCTCAGATTCCCAAAGAGCTCTGTGAGTCAATCACATTATCCCCATTTTACAGATAGAGAAACAGAGGCTTACATATCTGCAGACCTTGCCCAAGTAGAGAGCAGTCAGATCAGAATTTGAACTCAAGCCTTTGAGGCTCCTAAATTTATGCTTTTGATACCATGTGTCTGAGACCGGGTAACTGAAGAGCTTTTTGAGTTCCTTCTCCATGGGGATCCCTCTTTCTAAGCACCAGAGTGAGGCGCTTATTTTTCACCACCTCTCCCTCCTTTTCTCACCCCAAAGTCCGTCTGTAGGATTCTTCCCCTCTGGTCTTCTCTGCAGAACAGAAGGTGGCCGGGACCCTCCAGGGCTCAGAGGGCAGGAGCACAGCCAGGGTCTCTTTGGGGGATGCCTTTGGGGACCATGGACCCTCACTTCTTTCTCCTTGGGTGCAGCCTGCGACTCCTACTGGACGTCAGTCCACCCCGAGTACTGGACAAAGCGCCACGTCTGGGAGTGGCTGCAGTTCTGCTGCGATCAGTACAAGCTGGACGCCAACTGCATCTCCTTCTGTCACTTCAACATCAGTGGCCTGCAGCTGTGCAGCATGAGCCAGGAGGAGTTCATCGAGGCAGCGGGCATCTGTGGGGAGTACCTGTACTTCATCCTCCAGAACATCCGCACGCAAGGTCAGTGGCAGAGGCCGGGCCGGGGGAGGAGCCCGGGACCTGATGCCCTGAGAGAACCCTCTAATCCATGGGATTTGCTCAGCAAAACTTCATTCACTGGAACTCTCCTTGAGCCGAAACCTCAGCAAAGGGAAGCGCTAGTGTGCTAGTGCAGGGATTTTACATGACGAGAATAAGCTCCGTAAAAGCAAAGGAAGCACACTTAAATAAACACCAAAAAACAAAACAAAACAAAACCCTAAAACTATAGCAGAGGTACCAGGCTGATAGCGACAGAATGATGCAAGATGTTCACAAATACTTTTCGGTGAACAAAAAAATAAAAGCTTTATGCCTCATCTTGTGTCACTGAGCAGAAGGAGAAAAAAAATAAATAGGTTATTTTCTTTCCTGTGTCCAGAGGAGACCAGATAATTAGTATTTTCTATCACATGCCTCATGGTGAAGGACCAGCGGGCCGAGAGGTGGCGCCAGCAGCTTGATTGGACTCTTCTGCGTCCCTCTGAGAGCAGAATGTGGGTGTTTTCGCCAAACCAGATAGGTTTTCGGGAATAATGTGTCAAAGACAAGGGAACTGACATCCCAAGTGCTTAAGTACTTTCCCAAGGCTACACAGCACACATGTAGGGGGTACAAAGCAAGGACTTGGCAATTAGGAGGACCCCTTTTCAGTCTCTGCGGACCCGGCAAGAGGCTTCACCCCTCTCAGTCCCCATGGCCGGCTTCATCTGCCCACTGGGGCAGTGGTGCAGTACACACCTCCATGGGCTTTCCAGAGGATTTTGTAAACTATTAAAGGCACGGCAGCTAAGAGTGTAAATGCAGTAAATGGCCGCTGTTCCCATCATCACTAATGTAAATAAGAGGCAGGGATTTTTTAAACTAAAGGAAATGTATCTCAGCTCACTTTTAAGAAAGATCTACCTAAAAGTTGGCACCTGTTGTGGGAAAGCGTGCTTCAGAAGACACAAAAGGTAGGAAGCTCCTTCCCAGTGGAGATAGCCAACAATCAATAGCCCTTGCTTAAAGGTCAGGCTGTAGCAGGGATTCCTGTTTGGACAGAAAACGCACAGAACATCTTCCAGCTCTATTATTTTTTTATTTTTTCTTTTATTGCTTCTTATCTTGAGTACCTGCGGGCAAGAAGGCTACTGACAGTGGCTGTGGACACTGCGCGGCCTGAGCTGGAGCTAGCACCAGTGGCCTTTGCTTAGAGTGTGCCCCTCCCCGCAAAGGGGACCAGACTGAATGTGTCACAGCAGCTCTGGACAAAGAAGCTCAGGGCTCCATTCAAGACCTCTCAAGGGAAGACTCTGGCACAAGAATTCTGGGGGCGTGGAGAGTGACATCCTATCCTGGAAGAGTGTGCAGCTTGGCCAAATGTGAAGTCAACCGAGTTGGTCTCCAGGCACCAAAAGCCCCTGTGGCCCAGCACGGGCACCTCTTTTCCCTGGCCGTTGTCATATCAGAAAATACCTTCCCTGCTAGGTATTTTCTGATATGACTCGGGGACTCTGCAAAATGAACAAGCTGAAAATTGATTTTTCTAATAGGCCATAGCTGGCTCTGGTTGTTCTCGGGTTTCTCGAAAGCGACAGGTACCACCTCCAGCGGTGGCACCAGGGACACTCTGTAGGCAAGGGAAGCTTCTTGTTAAGCTGTGCAAGTATCCGTTCCTGACCTGTTCCATTCTGAAATTCCACCTTTAATGTTTCCCAAGCAAATCCCTGTATGTGTGTATGGCAACCAAAGTTTACACTGTCCCAGTTTCTTCAGAACACATGTTTTCATCTGGGATAATTATTAGCAGTGTTGCCTTTCGTTCTTAAAAGTGTCTCCATTTGGACAATAAATTATAATATAAATAACCATTTAGTTTATGCCTTATGGTTAGGGCTCCAGGAGGATAGGGCAAAGAGCAAGGGAGTTTGTCCAGCATAGGAGCTAGTGGGACTGTTTGGACAGAAAACCCACAGAGGGTTGTCTAGCTCTATTATTTTTTTATTTTTTCTTTTATTGCTTCTTGTCATGAGTACCTGAGAGCAAGAAGGACCATCTGGTCCCAGAGGCATTGCTGTGGGATCTGAGGGCCCAGATCCCCGGGAGGAGAGGTCAGAGGAAAGGATGAGGGGAGAGGGTGGCCTCCACAGCCCAAGAGAGGAAGGAGTCCCTCGTTTGTCCCACATCCTGTTCTGCTCAGCTCTTTGGGCAGAGTCAACAGAGGTGTCATGCCAGCCAAAGCTGATGAGAACGTGGCACCAGGAATGAGCAATCACAGATGTGCCCTACTCCCAGCTCCTTGATAAATATCGATTAGTTCTCATGTTGGACACCACGTTAGGGAGCAGGTGGCCTTTGACCTTTCCCGCTCCTTGAAAACCTGATCTGAAACTCCTCATTCAGACCTAGCTCACCCCATTCTACAGAGTAAGGATCGAAGGTCATAGTCTTCCAAACTCTCAGCATACCTGGCATGCACACAGCATTTTGCATTCCTTTCAGCCTCTTAGGCCCATTCTCCCCTTTGACCAGCACAGAACAGGGATCCTCATCTCAAGCGATGATAATCCCATGTCAGAGGTCACAGGCTCTAACCTGAAAGGGAGCCAGTGGGTGTTTTGCCTCATGTTGCCACTGAGGACAAGCCATGAGCTGAGAGTTCATATGGCTGGCCAAGGTCACACAGCGATCAGTGGTCTGGCCCAGCTCAGAGCCTCCAGCCAGGGCTCACTCCCCAGTGCCCATTGGAAGATCCCCGGCAGCTGCTGAGTACTTGGCTCCAGCTGCTCTTTCCAAGTGAGCTTTAAGAATAAGGAGACTGTTACCTCCCAGGGGGGCCTTCGGGATGGCTCTATGAAGACCAGATAGTCTCCAAGTCTCCTTCTAAAATAAAGTCAGCGCTCATGGGGAACAGTTGCCCGCCTCCACCCCACAACTCCTTTCCTGGCCTGGCCAGTGGCATCCAGCACATATGATATGCTTGTGTATTTCTTTCCTCCCCCAGGTTATTCCTTTTTCAATGACACCGAAGAGACCAAGGCCTCCATCAAAGACTGTAAGTAATCAAGCTCAAGCTGCACAAGCCTAAGCCAAGGCTGTTGTTGGGCACACAAGGTTAGCCAGGCTTTTACCAGCACACTGGAAGGTTAATGAACTAAAACAAGCCACAGCGCGAAGAGGGTAGGGAGAAGTGTGGGGGAAAGAGTGTGGGTGTGGTTCTGCGGCACCACATCTTGGGTCATGAAGTACCTATGCCCCCAAGACTCCACTTCCCTGTCTGCAGAATGGTGGGACCCTGCTGGGCTGTGGCGAGTTCAAGAAACAATGCCATGAAGTGTCTGGCAGGTGACAAGGTATGTGGGCTCCAAGGACTGGTCCCTGTTCGCCATAATACTAGTAATTGCTCCGTAGGTCAAGCTTCTATTTATAAGACAATGGAGGGTCTCAAATGGCCTTGTTCATCCTCCATTCCGTAGGAAGATTAGCTCCTCCTATTTCACTTTGCAGATGGTGGTTTAGGAATGAGAATTTGGGGCTTCCAATTTTTAAAGATGAGGACTATTAGCATTATTAATGAATAAGTCCCATCCAAAGGCCCTTACCCAGCGGCCAAGATGAGATGGGGTCCTGGGCAGCCCCCCTCCCTCCATGGACTTCACCTTCAGCTCACTCACCTGTAAAGAAAGTGTAGAACACAAGACGATTTCCACAGCCCCCGTGAGGTGCCAGCCAGTGGGGCAGACACAGAGAGCCCATTCCTGATGATTTGTTTCTCCTCTCCCTACAATCTAACGCAGTCAACTAAGGATTCCAGTTATTCGAGTCCTGATTTAACAAACGTTGAGGGGTTTTGTATTTGGAGATTTGGCACGAAAATAGCCAGGTACATGACCCACATGGAAAAAAGGGAAGAGGTGGGAGAGAATGGCAAGTACAGAGGCTTTGATCCATGAACAATCTTGGTCCTTAAAAACGAACCCCAGAAGGGGCTGGGGATTTAGCTCAGCGGCACAGCGCCTGCCTGGCAAGCACAAGGTTGTGAATTCGATTCCCGGTACCGGAAAAAAAGACGAACAAAACAAAACAAAAAACAAACCCCAGAAGGCAAGCGGGCCCAGCATTAAGTTGTCCCATATAGCAAGCACTAGCCATTTGTGGCCATGTAAGCTAGTTAAAATTAAATACTATTAAAATTAAGCTCCTTGGTAGGACTGACCACATTTTAAGTGCTTAGTAGCCGCAGGTGGCTAGTGGCTGCCATATTGGATGACTCAACTGCCCAGGCTTCACCATCCAGGAATCTGTGAACATCCGGGACAGCGTGGGGAGAGTATCAGTGAAACCAGCAGACAGCGAACAGGATGGGGACAGGTTCATGTGGAGTTTGGGTTTTACGATGAACAGGCTGGTATGCTGCTGAAGAGTTGTGAGCAGGGAAATGGTCAGACCCCGTCTGTATCTTAGATCTCTCGGGCTGCTGTGTGGGGGCCAGAGGGAGTTAGCCAGAGGGCTCCTGTCCAGGATGGTGAGACAGTGGCCCAGGCCGGTGAAGGGGAAGAGATGGAAAGAAGTATCTGAGGGTGGAAGTGGTGGGACAAGAGCTCCAGGTCAGCATCTCTTAAAAACACACAGCTGAAAGCAAACCCCCCTCCAGTGGCTGCAGCTTTCGGCTCCGCCAAGTCTGCTCCAATCATGTGAGGCACAACTTCAAGAATGAACTCATGGGTCGGGTGTCTGGTGAGCCTGCCTGAACACCAGCCTCACAGCCTCCACCATAGTTCTGCCTCAGCTGCCATAGTCCAGACTCCATGGGCTGAGCCAGGGCCCCTGGGAAGCCCCATCTGTGGCTCACCCACCGTCCTGATGCTTGTGCTTTCCTCAAACAAAAATCCTACTCTGTAGTTTGACAGCACAAGGATAGGTATGCAGGCAACATTTTGATACCTTATACAGGGATCCTGTGCCAGAAAAGCCAGGACACAGGGCCACAAAACCTACGGTCCAGGGGCTGGGGATTTAGCTCAGCGGCATAACGCCTGCCTGGCAAGTGCAAGGTCGTGAGTTCAATTCCTGGTACCAGAAGAAAAACAAAAAACAAAACAAAAAAACCCTACGGTCCATATGGTGGTTCATGGTCTTAGATAGCCCTGATTCAGAAATGAGAAGTTTCCTTTCCACACTATCATGCCAACCAGAGACTAAGCCCTGACCAAGGAGAATAAGGTAGCATCTGAGACTTCTGGAAATATTGCACTGGGATCTTTAGTGAAAATTAATAGCTCTTATTACATCTTTTGTAGTACAGGGCTTTCTGCATGCCAGGTATTTGCTCCATCACTGAGCTATGTCCTCATCCCTTTTTATTTTATTTTGAGACAGTCTTGCTAAGTTGCCCAGGCTAGACTCAACCTTGTAATCTTGCTGCCTCAGCCTCCTGAACAACTGGGATTATAGGCATGTCTCACCATACCGGCTTCATTACTATTTATTAAGGACTTACCATGTGCCAGGTGTGGAGCTGTAGTAAACATCTTACATACTTTAACCCATTTAATCCTCATCCTAACCCCCTCTGGTAGCACGGTTATCTCCATTTGCATCTCAGGAAACCAGGGCTATGGTAACCTGTGAGCAAATTTAGAGCTGGGATTCCGGAGTGTCTTCCCAATGCCTCCACTCTTATACATTGAGCTGTATACCCATACACACACATGTGCACACATGCTTCTAGGGCCTTCGATTCACTCTGCTTCCCACTCGGTGGAGACCCAAGGTCCAGGGGCCCCGCTGCAGCTGGGCCCAGTTTAGCAATGATTCCAAATGTGATGATTTTCAAGGCCCAAGGCCCAGCAAACTATGAAACCTTTAGAGCTGGCCAAAAGCAAAGCAACCCAGTTCTCCACTGTATCTTCTCATAGCCCCATTCCACGCCCCCTCCGCTACAAAAACACCAGGGAGGATGCACTGCACCCCAGGATAAGGCCTGCAGTCCTGGGTTGGCCACGGGCACCTCATGCTCCTGAGCCTCACAGCACCCCCATTCCATCCTGGTATGGAGTGTAGGCCTGGTGCCTGGACCATGGGCATCAGGGATGTGATGAGCCTGACTTGGAAACCCTGCCCTCAGCCCCCGCCCCGGCTTCTAGAAGATACTGCACTATGCTTTCAATCTCCAAATGAGAATACATCCTTTGGCCACAGTTAAGTTTCCAGGCTCAAGGCCAATGAAACCTGTCCACATCTCCTGGACAGCAAAAGGCCAGGCCATGCTTCCACTCGCTCCACACGAGGCACAGCCCAGCTGCAGGGACAGGTTTGAAATGAAGACTGAGACAATGACGGCCATGCCCACGACCACCACTGGCATTTGCAGAGGAATTAACTGGGTTCGGGGTGCTGCTAAAGGCCCACCAGCTGATCCTGGTGAAGGGTTTGATTGGGAGCCCGCCTCAACATTAACAAGGCAACAGTGACCCTGGTCCCTCTGCCATACTGTGTCCCCTCAACCACTGCCACCACCAGCCAAGCAAGAGTCTAGTCATCTCGAATCTAGTCACCACGAGAACAGAAAAGGATGATCCGGGCCAGAAACCCATCCCCAAGGCCCCTACCACCTCTGACCCGACCTTATGCTGACCTGTACCGTGTTCACCCCACCGTGTCCCTCATCCAAAACACAGGGCGAATCATAAAAACTAGAAGAGTAATTTTTCCCTCCCGCTTTTTACCACTTTAGCATTTCAGAGAAAGCTCGCTGTCTATTCACAACCAGTCATTCAGCTTTGTTTATCTTGACGGCTCCTTTTGTTTTCCCACTTCCTGAAATATTAAATCAAAACAATGGTGAGGTCTGGAAATAGGAATAGACATAAGTCACAAGGCTGGCTGAGACAGTGGGCGGCAACGTGTAACAAATCCTAGCTAACTAGTACTCCTTAATCACCTGGTGGAGCACTTACTGTGAAGACGTAGAAGCTGTGAGCGTTGGGTTTGGAGTGGGAACGCTCAGGTCCTGGCTTCACCACCCGGGTGAAGTTTTTAAATGCTCCGGGCTTCAGATTTTCCTGAATAAAATGAAATCTCAATAGTATCACAGAGTTTTTGGAGATGATGTGTGTGCCACATTTACTAAGCTCCTGGCATTCGGCAAACGCTCCACACATCTTAGCCGTTAGTAGAAGAAATAAAGAGACAAGGTGGATTTTTGCTTTACTTGGATAGTCTTTACTTTTACTTATGTCCCGGCCAATCTGTGCTCCATACAGTAGCCAGAGGGATCGTCTTACAATGTTGGTCTTTGCTTTACATCTTGATATAAAATCGCAAGGCTCCACCATGGTCTCCAAGAGTGGAAGTGATGCTTTGATACCAGACACACAGGTGCTGAAGGGATCTAACCCAGAGGGTGAGTTCAGGGAAGGCTTCCTGAAGAGCGCTAGTGTAGAAGTGGTGGCTGAGAAACCTGCGCAAAGGTCCTGAGGCAGGAGAAAGCCACATCCCACTGGGGCCATCCTACCCACAAGAAGCAACAAAAGTCAGGGAGCAGAAAGGACAAGGTTGGCCATCTGGGTGAAGTCCAGTTGGTGAAAGCCCTAACTAACATGACCGCCTTCATCCTGGAACCCCTGTAAGATGCTCAGCAGGGAGACGTGACCCAGGGGCACTGAGACAAGTCACCCTGGCAACAGTGTGATGTAGGTGAGACTAACTCTTCCCTTGACATTAAATCAATTCCTTCATTTGATGTAGTGTATGTACTGCACTACACAGCAGATACGGTTAGTGGCTGTTCAGTGCACTTACGGCACCCACTGTTTGCCTAGCACTGTGCTAGGTGCTGGGGAACACATCTGGAAGCACAAACCCCTGCCCTCTAGCAGGCGCCAGCAGACATCGGACTACATAAATAAAGGCATCGGCATACTCCAAGGTGATAAAGTAATGGAAGTGGATATGGAATGCTGTGTCTGAGTATGTATGTGTGCTGACAACTTGGTAGTCAGAAAATGCCCCGCAGGAAGGAATTCTGAGCCACAGGTAGGGGATTTTGTGAGATGAGGGTCTGAATGCACAGATATCCAAGGAAAGAGCACTCTGGTCAAAGGGAAGAGCACGTGCAAATGCCCTGAGGTGGAATGTGCTCGCAAGCTTGAGAAAGAGCCAAAAGCCAGGGTGTCTGGAGCAAACTGTGAGGGTAAGGGCAGGGGCAGAGGTTCACTATGGGGCAGGACAGGGCAGATCCAGCACTCTCGTTTAAAAAACCACATGCTGTTAGATGGTCACAACATGATTTATATATAACTTAGCGCTGACATAATGACTTGCTTTCTCTCCTTTATAAGCATCTTGTCTTTACTTTTATTTGTGTCCTTTCCAGTCTGTTCTCCACACAGTAACCTGAGAGATCTTCACGTTTTGATATAAAATCCCCAGGCTTCCCCAGGCCTCTGGAGACATCCCCGCATGGCCACCTCCCGCGGCCACTCCTGTCCTGGCACACGGTGCACCTGCCTCCCAGGCACTCTCTCCCGGCCCGGCGCTGCACTCGCTGCTCCCCTGCTTGGGATCTCTTCTCCCCTCCCTCTTTATCTCTCAGCAGGGTGTCTCCTCTGCAGGGCACGGTGCCTCCTCCATGTGGGTTTGGTCTCCTTCACCGCACCTTAAGCAATGGGCAATCTGCCTGCTTTCTCTGCGTTTTTCCTTCAGCTCCAGATGGGCAGGGGCCGAGCCTGTTGTGATCACTCTTATACACAGCATCCAGGCCATGATAGATCCCAGGACGGAGCACACACTTTCTCCAGAGGCAGAGTCTCCAGACTTCTGTCCCATCCACCCACTAATGACCCACAAAGGGCCCGGCAGTGTCCTGGACCACAAAGGCAGTCAAGGAGTATCTGCTCTTTCGGGTGCGATTGGAGGTGTGCGGGGCCTCTGTGACGCTTTCCACCGCTATGACTGTTTCAGATGCTGAGTCCAACTGCTTGAAAGCCAGTGGCATCAAAAGTCAAGACTGTCAGAGCCACAGCAGGACAAGTAAGTGCAGAGGCACCACTTTTCGTTTCTACCTGCTTAAGACCATTCCCAGCACAAGCATGCTCTGAAACTAAATGTGTACGGCCAGCTACTCCCAAGGAGGGCAGGAGAGACATCACCATTGCTTCCGGACATGGCATCAGAGTCGGGTTTATTTCTTTGTACTGGGACGTGACATTTTAAGAATTAAAGTGAGGAAGTAAAGAAATACTCTAAGCATTTTGTGTTTCTCAGGGAGGGTTTTATTTTTCCTGGTCTTCTATGGGTCCTTCTCACTGAAGTACTCAGAGGAGAACAGTAAACAAAACGCCAAGTGTTGGCAATTCTGTGGGCTTTCCGATGCACTTGGATCTAGCCAAGGTGAAGTCAGCTACCATTTCACCAAAATATGCATGGAAAATATTCTTTATATACTAGGCATGGTTATAACGGCATGATATGTATTAAATCATTAAATCCTCCACCCCATCCTATGACATGGGTTCTCTTATTATCCCACTTCACAGAAAAGGTAGCTAGAGAGATTATAGTTACAGAGCAGGGAAGAAGCAAATTGAGGTCCCAAACCCAGGCAGTCAGTCCCCAGGCCCAGGCGTAGTGACACTATAGTGGAACACGGGCAGGACAGGTGTGGCTGCAGGATCTCAGTACAACCATAATGCCATTCAGAAAGGAAAAGGAAAAGATCACCTGATCCTTCCCTGCATAAGAAGGAACCCATAGTTCACTGAGCAAAGAGCACCAGTGAGCCGCAGCGCTCATCCCGTGTAAATTTGGTGTCTCTGGATGTGTCTTGCTGTTGCTTTATAGGAAGACAAGCATCTCACCACTCAGGAAGGTTCTCAGTAGAAGCATCCAGTCACTGGATGAGAAATAGCTCCACAAAGGGGTTATTTTTAAAATTTACGTGGCTAACTTTTTTCCCCTTCTCAAAAGGCCTCCAAAGTTCTCATCTGTGGGAATTTGTACGAGACTTGCTTCTGTCTCCTGAAGAAAACTGTGGCATTCTGGAATGGGAAGATAGGGAACAAGGTATTTTTCGGGTGGTTAAATCAGAAGCCCTGGCGAAGATGTGGGGACAAAGGAAGAAAAACGACAGGATGACCTACGAGAAGTTGAGCAGAGCTCTGAGGTAAGTTAATAGCATAAAATACCACGAGCCTTCAAAGACCGGTTATATAAAATGGGCAGCCATAGAACATTACACTGTTTGCAGCTTTTTACTTGATAATGGAAAAATAATGAGACAAAACTTGGGTTCTTAGTTACAGGCAGGATTATGGCTTGTAAACTAACACTCCATACTTTCCAAACCTGGCACTATTCCCCAGAAATCAATCTAAACCCAAGCCATCACACACACACACACACACACACACACTGAACTAATTACGGTGAAGTTCAGTCTTCAAGATGTCTGGGAAAGGTTTTAAGTGTAAGTTGATAACAAGGTGTGAAAATACCAGAGTAACCAAAGACCAGCCTCCTCACCCGGGAGGAATGAGGGAGTGTTCATGCGCTGTTGTTTTCCTGGGACACAAACCCTCCTTGAACTTCTCTTCTGTTTGCTTTTACAGATATTACTACAAAACCGGAATTTTGGAGCGGGTGGACCGACGGTTAGTGTATAAATTTGGAAAAAATGCACACGGCTGGCAGGAAGACAAGCTATGATCTGTTCCAAGCATCAAGTTCATTTTCTGGATTACTGTCTTTGAAAACAATCAGATTGCGACAGTCATTTGAAGGTCTTTTTTTTTTTTTAACCTACAAATGTGCTGATAAAATTTCTGTACATCTCAGCTTACATTTGGACTCAGCTGTTGTCTGCTTGGGGTGACAGCTACAGCCCTTCACAAATCTCCCTCTCCCCAAGGAGAGGAAGGGATGGTCTTTCATGGTACGTTGATCTATTATTATTTCCCTAATCAAAAAATGGCAGAGCCACAATAGCCAATGTCATTGGTGTTGCTCAGAGAAAAGACCTAATTCTGTCAGTGGAGACAGATCCAGTGCTTCTAATTCCCAGCTTCCAACCCTGTCAAGTGGTTAACTGTGGCAACTCACAAGAAAAAAGAAATCGTGATTGGTATGTAGCTTATAGTAGGAGAGAGTGAGATATAAGACATATATACTTTAGATTTTAAATCATGAAAGTCAAATTCCATAGAAAAGTTTCTTAATAAGAAAAAGCTCAGCCGAGACATCACTGCATTCAGCGTAGGTTGATAGTAGGTTCCTCGACCACGACGTCTTTTTGACCACTCGGCAAAATGCCCACGGTCCCCCTTCTGGAGTTACACACTGAAAATTAACCACATTATTAATTGCCACTGAGGTTATTTCCCCTCTTCACTGATGGATTTTTTTCACCTACAAATGTGCTGATAAAATTTCTCTACATCTCAGCTTACATTGGGACTCCGGTGTCGTCCTACTTGGGATGACAGCATCAGATAGGCAAAGAGTTAGCGACAGGCATGCACAACAGTTTCCAAATCACTGCTGTTTCTGTGATTCCGGCCATCAACAGGATAAAATCATAATTCCTTGATTCTGTCTGAGGTCGACATTAAACCTTATAGAACTGGAAAAGTCCCAACAACCTGTCAGTTTCTTTTGTTCTGTCTTCTTATCCCATGAGTACTCAAGTTCTAAAACACATTTCCTTGGCAAAAATAGCAAAGCTGAGTTGACACCAGTAAATGCTCACAGGCTAAAGTCTGCAGTGGCATTTTCTCACCGTTCACTGGTCTGTAAGTTGTGGCCTACACCTAGGTGGCCTGGCCCTGGGCCTCGGACTTTACCAGAGCTGACCACCAAGTGCTGAGGCACCGAACCACAACACAGGCTGCAGACTTTGTTTTTAAAGAAAAAAATGTGAATTACTGTAAAATAATCTATTTTTGGACGCATGTGTTTTCCAGGTGGATTGAGTTTGTAAACAATGTGAATAAAATATTTAACATGTTTAACTGTCTCTGTGCGTCTCAGTTCAGTATGATAGGCTTAGGAAAGCAATGTCAATCTGGAAAAACTGTGATGACCCATTTTTTTTGAAACTGGGGATTGGAAGCTGGGCATGGGAAGATGAGGCAGGAAGACTGCCAGTTCATCCCCGGTCCGGGCAATGTAGCAACCGTGCCATTAATTGTGACACTTCTGGCACACCTCTGCAGGAGTCAGGGTGGTCGTGGGGACACTGTGTAGTGTGTACGGTCCCCTGTCCCTTCCTCTCTCTGACCCTCTTCCCTGTTCTGCTTTCCGGCTGCCATGAACTGAGCAGCTCTAATAATGCAAACATTAGGATTTTAATCTAAAAACCCATTCTTGGTTTAACTGGAGCCTAGGGGAGTAGCTCAGTGGGAGAGCACTTGCCTGGCATGCTCCGGGCCCTGGGTTTAATCCCCAGCACTGCAAAAACAACCGAATAAAAACACATTCATTTCTTCCCCTCTGGCAGACAGGAAGGGCTCTGGGCTATGGAAATGAACTTTCCACACCTTTAGCACTGGCTTTTCTGCGGCAAAAGCCACAGATAAGCTACCTGAGCCAGTCTTTGCTTCGTGGCTCATGGAAAGCCCATAGGGCAAGGGGCCAAATTCCACGATAAACTATCTGATAAGGCAAATTGAGGAGTTTTAAGTCCCTTCCAGAGCTCTGAAAGATGTGAAAGGTTAGTTAAAAAGTTTTACATAATTTTGAATTTTTTAAACAAGTACAGCGGTGCCTTGCCTTCTGGAACGCTTTTTGTTTGTGAGCAGTTTGGTTCGCAACAGAAGCAGTGGGCAAAATTTTATTTTCGTTTGCAAATTCTGCATCAGTTGACAAACGCGACCACAGCCGTCCTTCCCACATGAACATGAAGGCGGCCATCTCTGTCAGAGGCTTGGAACGAACTAAGTTCGTGAAGCAAGGTACCTCTGTACATAGTAACAAACTGCACATCTTCCATGGAAAGCTCCACTGCAGTTTCTCACTGCCCAGCTCTTTGCCTGAAAACTCTGACTTCCCCACCTGCCAGCAAAGTCCAGCTTCCCGAACAATCTCTTTTCAGCCTGACTGTGAGCTTTGATCCAGTCCCTTAAACATGGTGCTTCTGTGCTCAGATGGCCAGAGAGGGGGTCAAAATTCAAACTATAGAAACTATTAGCTATTAATTCTGGGTTGTATTAAAAACCAAAACCAGAATCAAAATACAATAGTGCAGGAATAAAACTGAACGGCAGCTGGGCGTGGTGGCGCACGCCTGTAATCCCAGCACTGGGAAGGCTGAGGCACGAAGATCGGTGCAAGTTTGAGACCAGCCTGGGCTACAAAATAAGCTCTTTTTTTTTTTTGGTTTTTCTCTGGTACCAGGAACCGAACTCATGACCTTGCGCTTGCCAGGCAGGCGCTTTTGCTGCTGAGCTAAATCCCCAGGCCCCCAAATGAGCTCAAGAACAGCCTGAACTGCAGAGCGAGACCCTGTCTCAAAAAGACCAAAAAAAAAAACCAAAAAACTGAATGGCAGCTGACAGCCTCAGGTCCAGAAGGCAGCAGGAACTGGCCGAATGCTCCCAAGCATACAGCTTCCACGCAGCCCCAGGAAATTAATGCCACAAAAAAACTCAGAAACTACTTGTCTTAGTTGCATTCCTTGTTGATGGGACAAGATGCCTGACACCTGCAGCTTAGAGGAAAAAGGTTTATTTTGGCTCAAGTTGGTTGGCTGGATCCGAGGCAGGGAGGGCACGGGAGAAGGACCTGGGTGGAGGAAAACTGCTCACATCACGGTAGCTAGAAAGCAGAGAGCAAAGAAGAGCCAGGGAGAGAGATGCACCCAACCCGGTCACGCCCCAGGGACCTGCCAGGACAGAAGTCAGCTGCATCACCTCTGTCATCCAGTCACCTTCCGAAGGCCCTGCCTACGAGCGTGCAAGCTCTTGGAGTACATCTAGCCATCAAGCACAACAGCAGGTTTTCCTGCTGAGCAGAGGGGCACAGAAGAGAGGGAAGAACTGATAATGTAAGAGAGGGCAGGGAGGGTAAGAGCAGCGCATGTGTGCAGGTTGCTCTGGATTATATAAAACAACAACAGAGTAAGATGGGAAACAAGGCACAAAGAGACTGATGATCCGTGAGAGATGGTCAGGTCACTGCACTGCAGGCCCTGGGAGTGCTGAAGAACTAAAGAAGGGAAAGACTATGGCGGATTATCATGCAGATATAAAAGCTGACCCCAAAAACCTGTGAACGTTTAAATTTTTTAAAAATGTATTGTAATAAAAGACATTGCCATTAATCTCCCTCCGAATTCTCTCCCATACACCCCACCACCACCACCACCACCACCACACTGAACATGCTTATCCCATAGTTCCTACTTTCTAAAGCAGTTCTGGAAGTCCTCTTTCGTGTCTTTACAAGAGGTGATCAGAGATGCTGCTTCCAAGGCCATCTAATGGAAAGGCAGGCTTGATCACGGTCTGTCCTCAGCCTCACTTCCTGGATCGAGCACTATGTAACTTCTGGCTCTTCCGCAGAGTTAACGTGACCAGGAAAGGTAAAGATTTTGAATCAACTCAGGCATCGAAGCAGGCACAATTAAAGATGCTCATGAAAGGGGACTTTAGAACTCAGGACTTCAGTGGCAAGAACAATACGATAAGTGCGTTCAAAGCAAGGGGGAGTATCTTGAGGGGGATTAACTGTCTTTTACTGTAATAATGTAACTGTCTTTTACTGTAATAATGTTTTAAAATTAAAATATCCACCATGTTTCAGTCATATACACACACACACACAAATACACACATATTACCTCCATGGATAGTACACACTTTATCACCCTTTGCCTTTTGCCTTACCCGTAAGACTTGTTTTGACCAGCGAGCTACTAGTGCATAAACAAGCACTTGTACAACTGGGATTGCATTCTTACACTGCTGCCATCACTGTGGGCTCCAGGAGAGTAAGAGACACGTGACACGGAGCCATCCCAGCCAAGCTACCCGGCTGCCGCCAGCCTAGGTCAGCCTAGTCAAGCCCCAGTCAACCTGGATGCAAGAGGGATACGTGACCGCTGTTTTAAACCACTGAGTTGTGAAGAAGTTTGCTCTTAGCAAAAGCTGACCAAGATACTGCACGAGGAGGGCTGAGCTGTGAAGATGTGGTCCAAGGAAAATACGGTGAGTGATCCTCACACAGACGTGGGGAGAGAAGCATGGTCACTGGCCCTGTGTATTGATGGAGGAATGAATACTCAGCGGAGAGAAGCAATTTGCTCCCCCACAGGTAGGAAATGACAGACCTTGGTCTGGAGTCGAGGTCCGTCTGGGTCTAAATCACTATAAATGCCTCTCAATTCATCCTCCTTATAAATCTGGCGCAGACACTCTTAGGATATGGCTCAACGTCACCTAGGAGGAACCTAATTACACAGGAAGTAAAGTCTACCTGAGGGAAGTCAAACGCATTAGCGCTTATCTTTGAAAACTGTCTGGTCTCCAGAGCAGAACTGAGGGGCCTTCCAATTGTCAGCTATTTCCTCACGGAGAGCACGTTGCATTTGTAAGGTTTAACTACCAACTTATTTTTAGACTACAAAACAGAATAAAGCAGAGACTGATTTCAAAAATTCTGTCTTTATGTGCATAACCAATATCAAATAACCTCCCTGTTTTCAAATTACATCAGTTCTTATGATTTTCTCTTGTAACTCTACTACTCTAAAGAGACAAGTGGAGAAAAGTTACCGTGTGGGCAGTGTTTACCCTTGGGTACTGGCAATTGTCTATGTCTTTAAACAGAACGGTCTCAAAGCTACTTGAGAAACTGAGGCGGAAGAGTTTTAAAGGAGGATGAAGAAGTAGGGGAAAAACAAACAAGCATTCACATCCATCTGCCAGTGGACTGGCGCTTCTCTGAAGCCTCATCCCAGAAAACTCATGAAAATCAGCACAAACTGGCTTTCAAGATGAACAAAACAAAAAATTTTCAAAAAAACACGAGCTTTCTTTTCATATTGAGAATCCACCCTTTAAATCTTACTTGTGATTTTTTTTCTTCTTCTTTTTGAGACAGGGTCTCACTATACAGTTCAGGCTGGCTTTGAGCTCACTTTGTAGCCCAGGCTGGTCTCGAACTCACAACAATCCTCCTGCCTCAGCCTCCTGAGTGCTGGGATTACAGGCGTGTGCCACCACACAGGGCACGTTACTTGTGATTTTTAAGGATGATAAGCAAATATGAATTTAAAAACAAAAAAAGAAAAATAATAACAAGTAGTCCTGTGTCCTCATCTTTAAAATTCATAAATGTACACTTATGGACAAGAGATCTAAGTAATTTTCAAAGTCAGGACATCTGCTCTTTTCTTTTTTTTTTGGTACCAGGAATCAAACTCACAACCTTGCGCTTGCCAGGCAGGTGCTGTGATGCTGAGCTAAATCCCCAGCCTGACATCTGCTCTTTTCCCAGTGACCCAGAAGTTTCTTCCATGACTACTGATTTAAACAAGTCATGCAGTTCCCTCGCCTTCTCGGCACTTTTACTTTTAGGGGTAAAGCATCTAAGAAAGATGGTGTTCAAATTACCAAGTAGTATTTTTCAAGTTACACATGGAGTCGAAAGAAATCAAATACCATTTTTTATATTCTTATACACAGATCATTTTATTGTAAAAATGTAAGCAATTACAATTCAACCTGCTGTAAAATCAATGCAATATTAGCATAAGTGTAATTTCAAGTGAAAAAAGAATGAATCTGATCAATTACCAACAGGAATAAACATTAAGTGTTAAAGTTATTTCCTGAAGACACTGATACATTAAGTGTGCTTTTACTATAAGGATCTTAGAAAAATAAAATTCTCTGAGTGGAACATCTTTGCCTTACTGTATAATTAGTTATAGCCATATTTTTATATAGTAAGTCATGAGGTGATATGTAAACATACTAATTTCAGCAAGATTTTTTTCTTACCCTCTGCA